TTTGAAGTACAAGTACATGTAGCATATGAGCAAAAAATGTTTTGGGGGGAAATTTTAATACCGTACTACCACCCACTGACCCATTTGTGTTTACATTATTACCCTCTGAGTGTCACCCAAAATTCAGTGCGAATATTTTCACATTTTGTACTACCGGTAAATTTGTTACTAAATTGCATCGTCGTTTCAGACCATACAGTTGCAGAAGTTGCTTCCAGTTTTTGATCAAAAGGTTTGTCAATTTTTATTAACATTTCATGTAGGGCAGAGTAAACTATACAAAATCCTTTTGTAGATGGTGCCGAAAGTTGACAATGCTGCTCATAGGGTTAAACGGGTCACTTATTTGCATGCACTTTTCCATTTTTAATCATTGGTATCTGAGAAAATAATGACAAACTTACCGTCAATAGAAGTCTTATTGACAAGTTCTTGTAAATCTGACACTGAGTCTAAGATATTCCTCAGCAGCTCAGGATTGGTTAACCAGTCAATAGTTTTATTTTCTGTACCTGACTCAGAATGAGATGATTCTAACCCAACACCTGAATATAAATAAATATAAGTATTATGTACATGGTATGAAATCGCAGAAAAATGTATAAATTACAAGTTGTATTACTATATGTTCATACATCAGCTGGGTTCAGCTAAAATGTACAATATATGTAGAGATGTTTGGGGTGAGCTTGAAATTGCTTGGCTGTTAACACTGCAACCATGTCAAGAGTTGAAAGAGTTTATGTCATGAGGATTCTCAGCAGTATACTGAATATGGGTCATCAGAACTGAAGATTATTTTTGTTATACCCCATATTTAAAAGATTACTAACAATCAACCAGTTTGAATGCCACTCACTAACACACTCCATGATTGGTGTTCGATAAAGAGCCATTGCTCGAAACTTCAAGCTGTTTTTATTAATTATTATAGTTATTTAGGACAATCATTACTAAATATTATAATCATTTTTGCTATATGGTTGAGTGAGTCAGTCAGTCTTACCTGTAAACTTTGTCTGCGTGTCTTCCACACCGGTCACACACACAATGGTAGATGTCATATTGCCAGGTAAGTCATAGGATGTAAACAACTGCTTACTACTACGGACAAAATGATTCAACCTAAGAAAAAAGAAAAAACCGATAAATAAGAATTTATTCATTGGAAGAATAAAGACAACAAATCCCATTTACAGAAAATTATTCAAGTTACCTGACTGCTGAGATTTTGTTACATACACAGAGAACACAAACAACAGAAACGGCCGACAGCTTTAAGCTCTCATTTAATTGGATACCACTTTTCAAATGCACTGCGAAGTGAGCAGCCGATCAGTCACATGGATAGCCGCCCACACAAATCTAAGTCGCAGTTTTCCTGATATTTGGCAGACATGCTGACCATATTACATCAGGGTATAATTCTATGCGTTTCATATTATTTTGTTACTACACCAGTATTAATAGAAAACAAAGTGAGATATATCTTACCTGTTAGCTGCCATGACAGCGATAGCTCCACTACGAAATGTCAGCGCTGGATGACGTCTACGTTGCTCACTTTCTAACGGCTTCTCGTCAGTGCATTCTAATTCCTGAGATAATGTTTCTACGAGTACTCTTGCTTGACGCTTAAAATCGTCACAATGACTAATCTGTTCTTCTAACAGGTTTCTTTGATTGGTTAACGCGGACGCACGATTATAGAGCGGTATAAGAGCACCAATCAATAAGGCACATGTACTGAGTAATGCAGAGTGTTCGTGTTGCAATTGCGATAACATATTACGCATTTCGACACATTCGGATTCAAGGCCTTCTCGTAGCGTACCAGTGTGTCTCAGCTTCTCCCATGCTTGATCAGCAA